TTGCTTTGAACATCACTGATGTTATATTAACAAATCAATACTTCTCCAGTCTAAAGTTCTTTCTAAACTTATCTAAAAGAATCAAACATCTCAGGAAACAATATCCTTTACTAAAATCCTTTCTTAAGCCCATTCTTTCAGAAAGTGTGTAAAAGATCAAGAATGAAAACTGAAGGACCAGGAAATGAATTAAGAGAGGTAACCAAACTTAGGACAAGAAACATCTCTAAGTTAAAATCTGGCCTTCCCCATCCACAGAGCTGAGTCATGACCCTCCCAAGTGCAGTGCCCTCTTCTCCCATGTCCTGAAGGGATTTGGGTATTGATCACGGGGAGGAGAAGGTCCCTTTGATTATTACTGGAGAGCCCTGGACAGTAGTGGTCAAAGAAGGAATTGAGTAGTTTTAGGAGACTGAGTGATGGAACAGAACGTTAAACCAAAACTAGATTTTATCATATTGTGACCTTTTCCTTGTTCAAGATTCCTATAAATGTTACTTCAAATTGTCTTGTGTTAAGTAAATGTCTGAGGGCATAAGTGAACCTTGTGAGAAGCTGATCAGGGAAGTCACCCTAGGCTAGGGAAACAGTGATGGACTATAGGTGATAAGGAAAACTCTTACCTCTCTCTGTCTCACTTGTTCTGTCTCACTAGAAATGTTTGAATTTAGAACAATAAATTAATTTAAAAAAACTGTTTTTGGCTAACGTGTGTAAAACACAGTAGAGTATTAATCATAATTTGTATGAACTGATAATACAAATTGAAATAAGCAGAAGAGAACAAATGAATAACATATAAAATGACTATAGCAAGATAAATAAAATAAAGTCATCAAAAGTTGTACATCATTGGAAAATTAATAAAGATCCAGGAGAAGAGATGCTTAAACATAATTCCTCTCCCTCATGGCAGAAAGGTAGAAGACCACTAGCATGGACTATCATTGCCAGACATGGTACAGGATATTTTCATTTAATTCATTTAATAACAAAAGAGGATTCAGTCTGAAGGGGGTAAGAAATTATCACTACAAAGAAGAAAAGTATCTATAAAACCTTTTTCTTTAAAAAGAATCAAATGGGCTAAGACATCTTATAAACCTTAAAGTGTTATGTAGAAAGGTTAGTTATGTTCTTTCTATTTCATACAGGAAACATCCTTTTGAGAGTAGCTTCTCCACCTTCCCCCTTCCAACTCCAGTTCTCTGAACTTTGGAAGAAGTGTACAGAGGCTGATCCTCCCACCCTAGAAACAGTTCTGTTTACCCAGTGAAAGCAAGTTGTTTCAACAGTGACATCCCAAACAAGTTTGCTGTGATCAATGCCTCCACAGAACAGTTAATTATTAATGCCTCAAACTAGGTGAGACTCATGGATTCAAAGAACCTTTGAGGTCAACTAGTCCACCTTCTTCATTGGACAGAAGATGCTGAAGCCCAGAGTGACTTGCCCAAGGTCACACAGAAAGTCAATGCCAGAAGCACTAATGATAATAGTCAAAGGTGATAATAATTCTCATTTCAAGTTTCTCGAAGTTTTAAAAAGCACTTTTCCTTAAAACAACCCTATGGGATAGTAATATTTATCCCTAGAGATTGAGAATACTTGAACTGGAGTCCATGAACTTTTTTCAAAAATATATTTTGATTACTATATTTCAGTAGAATTGATTTTTTTTAGATCCCATCTCTCATTTTATGCATTTGAAAACATTCTTCTAAGAAGGGGGCCATGGGCTTCACCAGACTACCACAGGGGTCCATGCCACCCTGCCCTAAAGACTCGGACAGAAGTCATTTACTTGTCCAGGACAGCACAGCTAGAAAGCAGAAATCAGGACTAAAGTCCAAGTCTCCAAATCAAGTCCTCCTTTTATTACCCTGGAGCTGTCCAAATGTGAAGATTTCTCTCAATATACACAAGACCAACAGTCTCACCAAAGTCAAGAATACGCCCTCCCCCAGCTGCTGATAAGATGAAGAGGACAGGAAGAGCGAGAGGAAGGGAAGAGGGAGAGGAGGTCCAGGATATGCTTGGACTCTCCTTTGCCTGCCATACTTCAGGCTTCGAAGCTAAGAAGGGGGAGACCTAGAGGAATCATTTAGCAGTGATCCCCTTCCCCCAGGTCCCCACCATCATTCAGAAGCCCTTATTAGAGGGTAATGTAAGTGTCAGGTGGGCCTGGGCTGGACAAACACTCCCTGCCCTGTTTGCATTTGTACTCCAATAAGCCAGGAGACCTGGATTCTTCCTTCTCACACTCCTTAGAAAACTCAGTTTCCTTCCAAGGGCAGCCCAAGCATCACCTCCTACTTGCCTTTCCTGATCCTCCCTCTGCCCTTCTATTGTTGCCTTCCCCAGAAATTACCTAGTGCTTATTTTCTAGAATTGTATGTGTACATGTTGCTATATCCAATAGAATGTAAGCTTCCCCAACTGGAAAGGGTAGGGACAGTTCCATTTGTCTTTGATCCCCAGCAAGTACCATAGATCCTGGAATGTAATAAATTCTGATTAACTGATTCTAGTGGAGGTATGATTTAATAGACACAATACTGGATTTGAGCCTAGAGTCTTAACAATTACTAGCTAAACCCTGACTCAAAAAGTAGCTGTAAGGATAAAAGGAGATATGAAAGGAAGGGAACAAAGCGCCTACCACAGTGCTAAGCAATTTACAAATATATTGTCATTTGATCCTTACAACAACCCTGGGAGGTAGCCACTGTCATTATTCCTGCTTTACAGTTGAGGAAACTAAGGCAGACAGAAATAACTTGCCCAAGGTCAAACAACTTGTATCTGAGACCAAATTTGAACTCGGGTCTTCCTGACTCCAGGACTGTCACTCTATTCATCATGCTATCTAGATAATTTTGTTAAACTACCAATAATTTCTATAACATTCCCTTAGAAAGTTATCTGTGGCACTGAGAGGTTAAGTTGCTTGTCCATGGTCACATAGCTAGTGTGTGTCAGAAGCAGAATCTGAACCTTCCTGGCAAGGGTGGCTCTCTATCCATTATGCTGTTATGGCCCTTCTGGAAAGGACCCTAAATACAATTGAGTCAAAGACTTTCCAGTTACAGAGGGGGAAATCAAGGGTCAGAGAATGGAAGGTGACAGTGAGTTATTGGCTAGAATTGAGATTAGAATTCCAGGCTGGGACAAGTCTCTTGGATAGATGAGAAGGTAGTTCTATAAATTGGTCAAACCCCTACCTTTTTAAGGGAATTTCAATTGTTTTTAGAGAGTGATTTAGCTGAAAAGCAAGCACTCCCCTAGAAAGAAGATGAGAAACTCACCCACAAAGTTCATCCACAACAGATGAAGTGTTTATCTGGTTCACATCTAGGTAGGAAGGAAAACTGCTTACCCAATGTTTCCATTGCCTTTATGGTTATGACATCCCCAAACTACTCATGTCTCATGACACTGCTTGGTTCTTGATTCTGTATCGGTAATATTCTCGACATAGTTATAGCATATTTATATATGTATATGTATATATGTGTGTATATGTGCATATATGTATGTATGTATATGTTATAGTTATATAAATATATAATTACAGCACTTAAAAGAGATTCAAGTCTCTCCAGTCCATTCTCTATTCATGTGCCAAAGTGATCTTCCTTAAAGTACAGTGGCTCTGTACCACCTCCAGGATAAACTACAATATCCTGTTTGGCATTCAAAGCCCATTCAGACCTACCCCACCACCACCCATCTTTCCAGTCTTCTTACACTTTGCACCTCCCCACATACTTTGATCTGACACTGGCACCCTTGCTGTTCTACAAACAAGACATTCCATCTCTTAGCTCCAGGCATTTTATTGTCCCCCATGCTAGGAATGCACTTCCTGCTCTCCGTCCTCTCCACCTCCCAGTTTCTTCAAGTCCCAGATAAAATCCCACCTTCTGTAGGAATCCTTTCCCAATCCCTCTTAATTCTAGTGCCTTCTCCTGTTAATTATTTCCTATTTATCCTGTATAAAGTTCATTTGTATGTATTTGTTTGCATATTGTCTCTCCCATCAGATTGGGATTGTCTTTTTGCTTTTCTTCATATTGCCAGGGCATAGCACAGTGCCTGGTACGTCATAGGCATCAAGAAATGCTTATTGATTTACTGATTTTAGCCTTGCCTCTGATTGACAATATGAAGTCAATGACAAGTGAAGACCACAGACATTTAGCGTTGTCGGAGGTTAAAGGATATCAGTGTGTGCTCTGGGCTCTAGAGACATGCTTTGCCCCTTAGGTAGCCTGACGAGCGCGGGCTGAGAGTGCTGAACTTGGAGTCATAGAATGTGGATCGTGTATCTGTTCCCTGTACTTGTGCGTGTCCTCCTCGGGCAAGTCACTTCATTTCTGTCGGGCCTTTGGCTCCTAAATTTATCATTTCCACAGTGCCCTCTAGGCTACACATACATGATCCTGTGTGGAGATGGCAGCTGGCACTGGGGGATGAACTGAAATCTTCCAGCCAGGGAGATGGGGGAGGGGGAGTGTGAATAGAGGGACAAGGGAGAGGGGAGAAAGTTGAGAAAGTCTGCAGTTACTTGCCCAAGTGGTGACACCAGGTCACAAACCAAGTCACAGAAAGTTAATGCCAGACAAGGTTAAAGCCAGAAAGGGTTAAAGCCAGAGGCCCCATTTTCATAGATGAGGAAACCGAATCCCGAGCCTGGAAGTAACTTGCTCAATGAGGGCTGTGCTTCCTCTCTTGCAGCAGGCACTCGGTCCCCCGGAGCAGCCGGCCGAGAGCTCTGCCCTGAGCACTCACACCACACCCGGGGCCGGGGCTAAGGAGCTGAGCCCGTGGGGACCGCAGGGACTAGAGCACGAGCTCGGCCTGCACCTGCATCCCGGCTCCAGGACCATTTGAAGGATTCGCCGCTCCGGATGATGGGGGATGGGACAGTGGGCAGAAAGAACTCGGCCGTGGCACGGCACGCACACTCACTCCACCCGGACCACACCCGCACTCACCGCCCTCCTGGCTCCGCATGCCGATGGTGCCGCCAGTATAGATGGCTAACAGCCTCCGCACAGGATCCCCCAACCGCGCCATGGCCAGCCTGGTCCTCAAGTGCCCGGGCCCAGCGAGGGACTAGGGAAACTACCCCTAAAGGGTGCCCGCCTCCGCCCCGCCCCCATTCCCCGGGGCCAGATAGGCTGCATCCTCCCCCCACCCAGGACAGAAGTAAAGGGTGGAGGAGAGAGGCTCCTGCCCACTCCCCCTACCCGCTGGGTAGAAAGAGTTGACCAGGGAGCTAATTCTACGTTATTCTTCCACCATGAAGGCCCAGTTCTGCTCGTGGCCACCACTGACCCCCACTCCCCCTTCCCTCACTCCCAGAAAGCGGGACGCAAACAAAGAAAGACGGTATTTAGCATCAGATGGTCAAATTCTGAAACTGTCGCTTACCCCCTCCCACCCCCATTCCAAGACCTTGGACGAGTCACTTAACCCCTCGAGGCTAAGGAGTTTCCTTACCTAAGAAATGATAGGATTGGGCTTGAAGCCGATTAGAATAGTCTTCCAAACTTGTTCGTTTTTACAATGTTGTTATGAAATAAATTGTTTCCCTAGTTCTGCTTAACTCCAAACAAGTCTTCTCAGGATTCTCTGAAATAGTCCCTTTCTTCATTTCTTACAACACGATCCTATTCTGTTAGGTTCCTATGCAATAATTTGTTCAGTCATTCCCCAAGTGATGGGGACCCCCTTAGTTTCCACTTCTTTGCCACCACCACAAAAAGTCGCTATAAATATTTATGTTCATATGAGACTCCTCCCTCTTGCTTTGATCTCTTTGGGGTCTAGAAATTGTATAGCTGGATCAAAGGGCATGCAGCTTTTTAGCAAAGCAATTCTGACCCCACCTGCTTCTCCCACTTTATTCAGTCTCCTTTCCCCCAAGGACCAATGAGTTCCAGTTCAAAGACCTGTTTTGGGAATGATACTAAAAGAGTACACCTGAAGGGGTTGGCCAGTATTTGGCTATGACAAATTGACAAGATAGACAAAATAATGCTGGGTGCACTCAAGAGAATGTCTGCCATTTGTCTTCCAGAAGATGAAATCCATAGACCTAAAATCAGGAAACTGGAGAGGGGAGAAGGGTGTTCAGGGACATAAGCTACCCCAACCCCCTGAGAAATTAGTCCTTGCCCCAGAAACCCTTCCTATATCCATCTAACCTTGACTTATGAAGAAATGACAGTGAAAATTAAAGATGCAGATAGATTGTCCTACCGTCTGAATAGCGGATCCCAGGGAATAATGATAGTCCAGTAATTTTATGAAGGAAAATCTAAGCCCTATGAAGTTGCTGGAACTCTGTGGTCATATCAGAATTACATTATAATATTTTTGAAGTATTCCAGAAGTATTGGGTGTCAGCAAGAAGAATGGCATCTTGGCCTTAGTATATTTGGACCTCTTTGAGGTTTCCTTTTTTAAAATAATTAAATTGTCTTTGTTATTATGAAGTTAACAATCATCAATAAACAATTCAATACATAAAAAAGCAAAAAAGAGGACTGTATAGAAAATCACGAACTTCTAAGATACAGTTCATTTTAAAAGTATATTATATAAAATTTTAAACCTTTGGCACAAACAAAATCAAAGCAATTAAAATTAAAAGAGAAACAGTTAACTAGGCACACAATCTTTTCAACTAATTTCTCTGTTAAATATCTAATATCTAAGCTATACAGGGAATAGACACAAAAATATAGGAGCAAGAGCCATTCCACAATAGATCAATGGTCAAAAGATATGAGCAGGCAGTTCTCAAAAGAAATATAAGCTATCAAAAACCAAATTAAAATAATGCTCCAAATAACTAACAAGAGAAATAAAAATTACAAAAATTCTGAGATTCTCCAGCACACCTATCAGATTGGCAAAAATAACCAAAAAAGAAAGAAAGAAAATGACAGTTATTGGAGGGACTGTGGGAGCTCCCACTGATGTTGATGGTGGAGCTAAGAAGTTGACTAACAATTCTCAAAGCAGTTTGGAACTATACTCCCAAAGTGACTAACCTCAGCCTATCTTTTCACTCAGGAATACCACTACTAGGCCTAAACTCAAAGGGATCAAAGATAGGGAAAGGAAATAACAGCAACAATAATAAATACATTTTGCAATTTAGGTTCAAATCTGCCACAAACAATTTTATTGAATTTAATATGAATCAATATCTAGTCATTTCTAGCTTGGAAAGAGATATCTAAACTGGCATAGACCCCAGTGCCTCCCAATATGACTCTCTACCCCAAGATAATTTAAGATAGTAGGAATCTTGAACAAAGATCCTAATATGGTAAAATACAATTTGGGGTTAACATTCTAGAACTACTCAGTTCTTTCCTGGACCACTGTCTTTAGGAATTAAAAAAAAAAAATTCTATCTTAAGGTAGACTTAGGAATCAATCAATAAACATTTATTAAGTGCCTACTATTCCTCCAGCACTGTGTCAAGCACTTGAGAGACAAAAAGAGACAAAAGACAGTTCTTTCCCTAAAGGAGCTTGTAATCTAAGGGGGGAGATAACATGCTAACAAATATATACAAAGCAAGTTATATACAGTATATATAGGAAATAATTAAGAGAGGGAAGGCACAGGAATTAAGAGTTGGGGAAGGCTTCCTAAGGAAAATGGGATTTTAGTTGGGACTTAATGGAAGCCAGGGAGGTCAGTAGGAAGTACAGGAAGAGAGAGAATTCCAGGAATGGGTGACAGCAAGAGAAAACACCCAGAGCTGATAGAGTGTAATGTTCCTAGAACAACCAGGAGCCAGTGTCACTGGACTGAAGAGTATATGGTAGGGAGTAAGGTGTAAGAAGACTGGAAAGTGTTCAAAGTTTGCTCTAAGAAAGACAAACCTACAGAGTCGGGTTATATATGTGGTTATTTCTTTCAAAGCGGGTGGCATGCATGTCCATGCATGGGAGTCAGTTGAAACTGAGCTCCCTTTAGAGTTAGGGTGCACAGTTTACACACCCTTTCAACAGGGGCTAATATCAATTCATCATCATTTCACTTCCAGACAGAGGAAATACCTGTTTTATCAGACACCCCACCCCACCCCGATTTGGGCTATCTAGGCAAAAGAATCTGACTCCACCCAAGCCTGAACAGAACACAATGGGCTTCCCTACTTTAGATTAAATTACCAGTAAATTTGGGTGGGGGGCTGACCAAGATTAGGAGAGTCTATGCAATTTCATTATCACTAATGTCCTTTTGAAGAAAAACCGAATTTAAAGTCAGGACTTTGGAAGAAGGGGTCTTGGGGAAGATTTGAATCTCCAAGATATTGGTTATTAATAATCATTTTTCACAAAAGGTAGTAGGGGGCTGAATTATGAGGCCTTTGAATGCCAAATAGAGCATTTTGTATTTGATCCTGGAGGCAAAAGGAAGTCACTGGAGTTTATTAAGCATATGGGCAATGTGATCAGACTTGAGTTTTAGGAAAATTACTTTAGTGACTGAATGGAGTGTGAATTGGAGGAGGGGGAGACTTGAGGGAGGCAGACCCACCATCAGACTATTGCAAAAATCGAAGTATAAGGTAATGAGGGCCTGATGTCAGAGGAGAGAAGGAGGTGCATGCAAAAGATGTTGCAAAGATGAAATCTGCAGGCTTTCCTAACAGTTCAGGCAGGGGGGAGGATGGGGTGAGAGATAATGAGGAATCCAGGGTATCTCCTAGAGTTCAAGCCTGAGGCACTGGGAGGATGGTATTGTCCTCTATAGTAATAGGGAAGATAGCAGTCGGGAGGGTTTAGGTTTAGGAGGAAAGATAGTAAGTTCTGTTTTGGATGTATTGAGTTTAAGAAGTCTATTGGATGACCAAGATAACAAAACAAGAAAATGATAAATGTTGGAGAAGATGTGGGAAAATTGAGGCACTAATGCATTGTTGATGGAGTTGTGAAATGATCCAACCATTTTGGAGAGCAATTTGGTACTATGCCCAAAAGGCTATAAAAATGTGCATACCGTTTGACCCAGCAATAGCACTACTAGGGCTATATCCCAAAGAGATCATACAAATGGGAAAAGGACCCACATGTACAAAAATATTCATAGCTGCTCTTCTTGTAGTGGCAAAGAATGGAAATTGAGAGGATGCCCACCAATTGGGGAATGGCTGAACAAGTTGTGGTATATGAATGTAATGAAATACTATTGTGCTATAAGAAATGATGAACAGGCTGACTTCAGAAAAACCTGGAAAGACTTGTATGGTCTGATGCTGAGTGAAGTGAGCAGAACCAGGAGAACATTGTACATAATAACAGCCATTTTGTGCAATGACTAATATTGATAAACTTAACCCTTCCCAGCAATACAAGGATCTAAGACATCTCCAAAGGCCTCATGATGGAAAATGCTATCCACATCCAGAGAAAGAACTATGGAGTTGAATGCAGATCGAAGCATACTATTTGTGATTTTTTTTCTTCTGTTGTGCTTTGTTTCCTCTTTCTGGTGGTTCCTCCTATTGGTTCTAATTCTTACTTACAGCATCACTAATGTGAAAATATGTTTAATAGGAATGTATATGTATAGCCTATATCAGATTGTATGCCATCTTGGGGAGGGTGGTGGGGAGGAAGGGAGAGAAAAAATTTAAAACTCAAAAGCATATGGAAATGATTGTTGATAAATCAAAGTAAATTAATAAAAAAAAAGTCATAAAAGAAGAAGTCTATTGGACATCCAATTTGAAATATCATAAAGGCAGCTGGTGATGTGAAATTAAAGGTCAGTATAGAGCTTAGGGCAGGGTGGGTAGCTTTGAGAATCATTAATATAGAGCTGGTAATTAAATCCATGGCAGGTGATGAGATCACCAAGTGAAGCAGCATAGGAGTAGAAGAGAAAAAGCACTTACATAAAATCCTGAGAGATACCTACAGTTAAAGGATCTACAGGAGGATCCAGCAAAGGAGATAGAGGAGTGAGCAGATTGAGAGGAAGAGAAACAGGAGAGAAGGGTAGCCTGAAAACTTAGAAAGAAGAGAGTATCAAGGAGGAGAAA